CTGTGAGGACATCAAAGCCTGGAGGTCGCAGCATCTTTGACTCCAAAGTCAAACATGAAGGTCTGTTCCTCTTGGACATGAGGGGGGGTCAAGTCTGAGGCAGCAGGGGGCAGGGAGGAGGGATGAGCTTATCCCTGCTGCTGGTGGACTCTGGGTAAATAAACTCCCAGAATAAGGTCACGGACGAGCCACAGCCAAGCTACGGGGGTTTCCCGCCCCCCGGCGTGGAGGACGGTCAGATGATTTTGATCAAACAGGCCAAAGTGGACAAACATGGAACTCATCAGCTCCACCACCTCAACATGGAAATCAGCTGAAGGAAAAATAAATGCCGCCCAGCAGAGGGTGCTGTTCTCACAAAGGAACAGAACTTTCCATCAGTCACTTTTTTGGATGGACTTCTGCTGTTTTTCCATTGTTGGAGTTGCTACGGTACCGATGGTGTGATGAGGAGTCATGTGACCACTCAGTTTTATAATTTGGACCAGACTATTTTTACTGCCTCCTCAGCCCAGTCTACAGACCAACTGTCAGCTGAACAGCTCCAGATGATCCAGGAGCTGACACCACATATTTCCACATAAACAACTGTGGTCGTCTAGTTACGCCTCCGTCAAAAACCGTTGGAAATGGTTGAATTTCTGGGGGGAGGGTTCTTCTTTTAAACAAGAACTCACAGTTGATGCAGATGATTTTGATCATGGTGATGGTGAAGAAGGTCAGAGGAGCCATCTCCACCTTGACCAAGATCGCCGTCAGGAGGAAGACCAGCAGGATGGCCGTCAGGGTACCAGAGATCCGCAGCTTCTGAGGAATCCTGGGACACACACGAAACCCTGATTATTATTCTCTAGAGTATACTGTATATATATATGAAATAATGGACTAAACAACATAATATTCCTGTCTTCTTTCATTTGGTCCTGGACCAAATGAGGGTAAAACAAAACCTGTTATTGGTTTACTGGGGAATGTAAAGACAAAGAAAAGCAGAGAAACCTTTAAATGTTTTTGGAGCCGTGGTTCAGTTCCGGCCTAGACCATCCTTAATCCAAATTTAATTAAAGAAAACACAGCGAGGGGAAAAAGTACCCCTTCATCGTGGGTCAGACCAGCAGGGGGAGTGGGCTCAGAGACGGACAGGAAAAATAAATATGTGTGTCATTTAGCATTTTAACTAAGCTAACTAACCTTTGTCTTGACTAACCCATTGATAGAAACAAAGACTGGATGGATAGAGGTGTACGGTGATACTGGTTATCGGCGCTCTGTGTCTGTGTCATATGCATCAAGGTCTAATTGTGTTTTAAACACGAACAATAAAAATCGTGAATGGTATCGTGAGTCCAGGTCACAGTCACGTCCCCGTCCCTCAGTCGGTGTCTGCAGGACGGATACCTCTGGTGTATGAAGGAGTTGAGGCAGGTGAAAATCAGCAGAGGAACCATGGCACACAGGGTCATGGTGTTATTGAACTTGGACTCCAGGACGTTGCGAGGGTCTCCATCAGTCTGGTTGACCGTCTGATTGGACAAAGAAAAGCTGCCGCTGCTCTTCAGTCGGTTGGTGAAGTACTGTAGAAAAAAAAAGGCAATATTGTGTGAACAGTTCAAACACTTTAACTCCAAAGTCAAACAGACATGTGACACTTTCAAATGTTGACATTCTCTGCTTATTAAATGACACTCTCCCCATCCTTAGGAACCTAAAATCCAACTCCTACATTCTTTTACCCCTGTAAGGCCCAGGAACCTGGTCAGGGTTTAGTGAAGTTCCCCTGGATCCTGGGTCAAGGTAAAGATCAGGTTTCCTGAGTCCAACCCAAATAAACAACCTTTACCCAAGCGCTGTGACCCCCCGCCCCCCAACCAGGTGTGCCTACCATTGTTGCTGTCATGAAGAAGTTCCATGGTAACAGTGTTCCCAGACCCAGGATGAAGAAGATGATCCACACAGCGTTGTATCTGGGGAAAGTGGAACAAATTGGAGTTCACATGAGTGGAATTCACTGAAGTCACGCTGCTCGTTATCACTAAGTTCATTTGGATCTGCAGGGAACAGGAACCACATGAGCAGGACCAGGTCCTGACCTAGACAAGGACCCTTTCTCTTGTTGTTATCTTACTTGTCTCGCGGGGCGTTGATGGCCGTCATGGTCGAAGTCCTTGGCGAGTGTGAGACGTTGAGCAGCGGCAGGTCTGAAACACACAGATAAGGTGTTTTGAACACTCGGTCTTCTGAGTCGGGGGCATCTTTATCTGCAGCTGCCGTCTGTCGGCCAGCGCACCTTTAAATTTGCTTTTAAAAGAAAACACAGAGAACCTGACCAGACCTCATTTCACCCATGCATGAGGTGTAAGAAAATATCAATACACTGATATATCGCAATATTGCCATATCAATCTCCTCATTCATCAGTTACTGATTTTTTATCACCAATTTCCAGTCCAATATTCCTGGTGTTGGTTCTTTTTCAGCAGAGTCTGAGACTGGGATCACACTGGGACCATAGTTACATTAGAGGGAAAAAAACTACATATATCATTGCGTTTATAGTATCACAATATATCATTACTTAACAGTGTATCATATGGTGATTTTTTTTTTTTAAGAAAATTGTGCATCTAAATGTTTCCAGACCACAGTTCTGTTGGTCCAGACGTTGGTCTGATGATCTTCTGGTTTGTGGACATTTTGTGGACATTGAATTAGAAACTAAAGCAGAAGCAGCAGAATTGGATTAACAGACAATAAAAGATTCCATTTGACTTTGGCTTAAAAAAATCACCATTTATTTCTAAAGTCTGCAAAAAAAAAAAAAAAGAGTTTGTTCATCAAACACTCCACATTAACTGAACCAGTTCCAGTTCCAGTTCCACTTCAACACACACACACACACACACACTGACACACAGTCACAACCACAGGCTACTATCATCTGAACTCTTCTTAACCATAAAAAACAGAGGATTTTCAATGAACTCACTTCCAGATGCAGAGTTGAACCAAACACAGAGCTCCTCCGTCCTCTGGTCCGCTTCATCAACAACTCAGTGCACTTCATTTTATATCATGGGTGGGTTGTCAGTGTGACACTCCTACTCTCCTCTGCAAACTGCCCACTCCCCTGACCCCAATCCCCTCCTCTCTGAGCCAAGTCAGACTTTCTCTCTGAATGAAGTGTAGACTTTGTAGCTTTTTTTTTTCCCCACACCCTCAACATTGAGGTCTCTTTTTTTTATCTTCGCTCCTTCAAGAACCCTGTTCTATCTCCTTTCTTCTCAGGTCAATTCTTGAACTTCCTTTTATATATAATCAATTCTCAGATTGGATTTTTACTAAAATGAAAATAAAATGAACTACAAACATTTTGATATTCATTCTTTTCCACCAACTCTGGAGGAAGATGAAGCTCCATCTCGCCATCAGCTGGACCCTCCTCACACTCCTCACCCTCCTCACCCTCCCTGCCTGTCGCCTCTCCTCTTTTCTTCACACGCATTTCATGTTGTTTGAGGAATTCTTCATGATTTAATCTAGGACTGCGTGTCAACAATAATCTGTCATTAGAATCTAGGACTGCGTGTCAACAATAATCGTACTGATACCATACTGTATATTGCGATACTATATGCACGGCAATATATTGAGTTTGAGAAAACTGTCACACAATGCTACTGATATTATCTTACCCCAGCAGTTTAGTCGTACAAGTTTTCAATGTCGTTCAATTGTCACAAGTGTAGACAGCGCCCTGGTGTGGCCACAGTGAACCATCCAATCAGCAGCTCTACAGGAGGAACTGTCAACAAGTATCACCCCTGGTGTTGTAACTAGAGTATTTGAATCATCTGTCCGTCCGCAGAAATCACGTGACTCACCTTCACGTCAATTTGTTTTATTTCTTAAGTCAGGAAGTTGTTTTGCTGGGGGTAAACAAACAGAGCAGGAATTAATACGGTTCAGGTTATACTAATTCCTGCTCTGTTTGTCATTGGTGAGTGTGAGACGTTCAGCACCGGCACGTCTGAAACACAGACATAAGGTGTTTTTAACACTCAGGGTCGTCTTTATCTGCAGCTGCCGTCTGCTAGCCGGCGCACATTTAAAATAGCATATAGAAGAAAATGTGCAAACAACATAAGAAACAAATGAATAATGAGCTCCATTTTTTTTTCCTTTTCTTTTTTCTCTAGTTCTTCAATTGTCACAAGTGTAGACAGCGCCCTGGTGTGGCCACAGTGAACCATCCAATCAGCAGCTCTACAGGAGGAACTGTCACCAAGTATCACCCCTGGTATTGTAACTATAAATACTAAGTATTTGAATCATCTGTCCGTCCGCAGAAATCACGTGACTCACCTTGACGTCAATCTTTTTTTTTTTTTCTTTCTTAAGTCAGGAAGTTATTTTGCTGGGAGTAAACAAACAATAAACAGAGCAGGAATTTGTTTAACCTGAACACATGGGTGTGACTGAGTACTTAGTGAGTAAAAGTACTTCAAATAAGCCAAGTACACAGCTGGTGGCAGAACTTCTCACTGGCCGAACAGCTGGTGGCAGAACTTCTCACTGGCTGACTTAGGATTATTAAAAAAAAAAACACTCTCTAAACTCAGGTAACGGGCGTCCAGACCACACCACATGGACGGGGTCTAAGAGCCGTCTCAGACCACCAAAGGGCCCTTAGGTGTACCTTTACACCAGAGAGTGATCCACTCAGCAAACATCACCCTAAACTGTCTCAAAACCTAAAGGAAGGAAGGAGGGGGTGGAGGGGTCGGAGGGGAGAGGGCAGTAAAAAAAAAGTCCTTCTGTCGTCGTCCAGATTTCTGCAGTGACTTCGTCTTCAAACTCTTAACTACATCTGTTACACAACAGGCCAACTGGCCAGAGCTAACCAGCCCGACACATCGCCCACCACCACACACACACACACACACACACTTTGGCATCAGACTGACATTTTAACAGCCAGACCACTGACACACTGCAGCTGTATCCACACCAATAGTAGAAGAGTTTCCTGTCTCCCCTCAATATATATACATATATAAATAAATAATCATAATATAAAATATTATAAATGAATACATAAATAATCAATTATCTAATTGGGTAAAAGGGCAGACATTATTGTTTTATTAGACAGAACTATTGAACAAAGTTTTGTTTGTCAGAAAGACGTTTGTAGAGGATTTCTTTTATATAATTACTGGTTATGAGAATAACATTTGCTCTAAACTTCATTTTGAATGTTTGTTCAATTTAAGGAAATTGTAATTTGTAAAATTCTGTATCAGCAGGTGACATCCCCCCGCCCCCCACACCTCCCCAAATAAACAGAAATCTGAATCACAAGTACAGAGGAAGGACGTGTGATACTAATGAGTTAACAATTGATGGAAATGAAAGGTCATGAAAAAAAAAAGGTCACTGTCTTCATCCTCCACTGGTTCTCAACACGTAAACACAACGGCGGCCTCGACCAGCAGCACCCCCATCTGGCTGCTCTGGACAATTAATTTCTATCACACAACGCAGCTCCATCCGATCTCGGATGACTAACCACAGGTGTTGGGTAAGACTGGGGACAGGGTGTGGTCGCTCACTGTTAACATTAAAATCATTACCACACTGAGCTCTGAGCTCTGACCTAGACTGAACGTTAAAGCTGTCATCACCCTGCAGGGAGGGCTAGACGGTGATGTGATAACGCAGTTCTTCCTGTTCTTAGCATTAGTCTGTAAATGTCAACAGGTGGCAGACCTACAGGGGTCTTCTTCAGAGGGACCCTCAACAATGACACTGTGGCATGGAGGAAACACACACTCAACTGTCTGTGTGTGTCTGTGTGACTCACTGACCTGTCATCAGGACCATGTACCTTCTACGTCAACACCATTCAGTAAAACCAGTCCACGCTAACCAGGTGAACAACCACGTGAATTCACACACCGCCTGTTATTACTGCATGTGTACTTACAGTCATCTCTGATACCCCCTGCCCCCCCTCCGCCCCCACCGAGATTTTAAAGTCCCATGATGCAACACCTAAGCACGTGGAGACACTCCAGCCCCACATGCTTCCACTTTAGCTAACTATACTGTAGCACCCACATGCCCAAAGATCCTCCCCCCCCCCCCCCGGCACTGCCTGAGGACAACTGCACACAGACGAGGAGCGTGGATAATTAAAAAAAAGTTAATTCACTGAATGAAGGAAAGAGTTCTGACAAATGTTGACAAACGTTCTGTCTTAGAACAGACCGGAACATTTCACAGATCTGACGTAAATGTGTAATAAACAAAAAAATAAAACAAAACACAACAATGACCTCACCTGACTAATGGTTATTATCAGACTGAGGTGATTATTGTTATCATCAAAGTACTTTTTATATGTATTAATTTTGTTGTATTAATGTATCAAGTATTTTTCATTGATATAAACTGTTTATTTATTTATTATTTACTTATTATAAAAAAATTTATAAAATAAAACTTTTTTAAAAAAAACATACTGGACTGCGGTTACAGGTGCATTCACCTGTACGGGCCAGTGTGACGTAGAATGATTTGTCATACGTGATACTGATCATCAGCCAATGAGAATTAATGAACGGTACTGCGGTTCTGTAGAAGGTTCGGACACGATTTTAGGATGAAACGTTCAAATCGTGGAGGAATTTATATTTAATAATAACTCATCCACCTAATATATATATATAGATATATTAAAGCTGTAACAGCTGTGCTGTTTCTTTTGCGTTGGAATTAAAACATCACCACACACACATTCGTCTACAACTCCAATCTCCATCAGCCCGGACAGACCACGCTGTCTTCCGTGAAGCGCATGTGAATTAGCGCGCTCTATTCAATTTGGTTCAACAAAGACAAAGCTGCTGCTGTCGGAGGTTCAACCACAAACATCAGGATAACACGGTTTTATCCAATAGTTACACCAAAACCCGAGAAATTCCGAAAATGAAGAATAATAATTAACAACAAAAACAGACAGAGCGGTGTTTTTAAAAAAACGAGCGGTCTTGAAAGCGCAAGTAACCGCCAAATATTCAGATTTTAAATACAGAAGTGTCAGTCCGCGTGGTGGTCGAGCTGAATACAGGTCCGAATACTGACAGAATACCGACGGAATACTGTAGTATTTCTTATAAAGTTCACTAGTATAACAACAAACAGAGAAACGCGTCTCTTACCTTCTCTTCTCACTGTGAGCACATGTATGAAACCAAACCCACTAACATTATACACTATACGGTGCGTTCACGGGACCTCGGAAAAGTTAACCACGCCCCCAGTTCATTATTATTACTCCATTCATGCATCCATTTTCATCTCCACGACCGCCACCCAAATCACACTGCACCGCAACAGCCCCTTGTGAACCTTCCTGCGGGTGTTGAGTCCATTATTATTACTATTTATTATCATTTATTATTTTTGTATGTTTACTGTAGCGTGATTGTCTCAAATTAAGTTGAAGGTATTGTAATGTAACGTTGCCGTTAGCATCCTGGTGTGTGTGTCTGTATGACCCACTGCTAACAGACAAGACCTGGTGATTATACAACACAAATATTACACTTTCCCCTTTTACAGCACCTCCTGTTTTGGTGAGTCACTGTGAGTCTCAACACCAAGACACCATTTCATCACAACATGCCAGTCTGACTGAGCTGAAGTGTGTATGTGTGTGTTAAAGTCTGAACACATTCACTGCTGCTCTTGGCCATTTGCTCATAAACTCCTGGTGGGTGAACAGTCCTCCACACCCTGTCTCCCACCACAGCTAAAATAAGCTCGGCTGTGGTTCGGGCCAGAACTTCGGTCTGTTCTGTCTCTCGACCTCAACCAACAAAATAGTCCAACCCAGAACCACAGAGGACTGGGACACGAGGGTGTGTGTGTGTGTGTGTGTGTGTGATGGCGGGAATACACAGAAGTACACTTCATTTCCCTCAGTGTTTATATTTAAAGATCTAAATGTGTCATCGCTGCCGTCGTTAGTTCCACAGTCCTAGACTTGTTTACCGGCTGTGCAGCCAAAACAGAAAGCAGACAGCTGCTCTGGACTGGACCGAGTCACTGAACCG